TTTTTGTTATTGCTCAAGCCCTTCCATACGCTCATCCCTCTTCTATATGCCCTTATTCCTGCTATTGAGCTCCAGCATATGCGCCTGACTTGTTTTTAAACCTTTTTATGCACCTTGCAGTGTATTTGTAATAGCTGTTATCGACCTTTAGACACACCTTTGTATATAGTTGGAAAAATACATATGTACATAATAGGGTGGTTCTAAAAAATATTATCACCCGCACCCTTATTTTGTTCTACGTACAAATTAAAGACATCCACGAAATAAATTTAAAAAAATTTAAAAGAAATTGTTTGCGGTTTTGAAAAATTTAACTTTTTTAAATCGCAAAATTCGAAAATAAAAAATAAATTGACTTTAGCGCGCTATATCACAGAAATTTTATAAATTTATATGAATAAGTTTCAATAATAACAAGCCCTAACCGCCAAAAAGATGTAAGAAGCATTGCTACATCAAAAATTAAATTTTGGAAAACATTTTCGCTGACATCTCTCTGGCGGTTAGGGCTCGATATGTCAAATTTACTAGATTCAATTAAAAATTTTGTCGTATTTTTGCGACCCCTAATTTTTTTTTTAATTTTGAAATTTTTGTGGATGTCTTTATTTTATACGTAGAACAAAATAAGAGATGCCCCATACAAAATTTTGTTTTATATATGTATTTTAAAGACCACCCTAATACATACAAAGCTTTCAATTGAATTATAGCTTTCAGCATTCCCTTACGCTCCCCTCTATTACACACCGTTTGAGTAGTTGTGGTTATTAAGTGACCTTGTTTGTGTTGCTTAAATATGTTGTTTATCTTGTTCTCTTTATTCACAATAGTTTTTTGTTGTGCGTCTATACACAGTCCTATTGCTTTTTGTACGTATGGCACTTGGTTGTGCTTCTCTGTGTGTGTGCCTGCGTTAGGCGCGTGTGTGCTTGTGACTTGCTTTGAAGCGAAATTTAATTACTTTTTGGCGTTGATACTTGAACAAAAAAAAAAAACAGAAAAACCCATAGTACATGCTTATCACCACATACATGAAGTTGTGCGCACTAACCGATCCATTAGTTTTTCTTGTTTGCAGCGCAGTGCGTTTATCTTAAACACCAGGGTGTCGACGAGCCTTTGTTCAATAACTTTTCTTTCTACCTAAGTACATAGTTAGTTATTTGAAATAAATTGGCAGTTATTAACCGACAATAAGTAATTTTTAAGTTTAAATTTTTTTGGATATTTTAATGAAAAATTAATTTGAGCAAACTATTACTTGAAATAAGGCTTAGCAGTAAAAATTAATTTAGTAGCTATAAGTTGTAGTTCAAGGTCTTCAATGAGAATTATAAGAATTATATTTTGAATTTTTACTCACCCAAAATATTATATTAGTGGATAGCAAAAAAAGTGTTCTGATATAAATATATTTTTGGCACGAAAAATCTACGGGATATGAAAAAATCGTAACACAGCGGAAACCAGGGAGTATGTTGTGTATGTGCCCATGGAATGGTTCTCAGTGAAGGAGGTTTTTAGCAAAGACGAGTACCTTGACCTTCAAACGGAGAATACTCCGCTTCTCCCACCGTTGCGTTTCTTTTTTTTAATTTCAGAGTTGTCGAAAGACATCGACTCAGTATATGACCACAGAAATATTAAATATATACGTAGTCTTTTCGAAGATAATAGCGGAGATAGACAGGCTGAGTTAAGTTGAATTAAGTGGCACAAATGCAGATACGATTTTTACTCCTGACAGACAGCACCATTGTGCATAACAAATTTTCTTCTTCTACCTGCGCATTGAGTTATCAGCTGATTTGACAAAAAATTTGAGCTCAAAATGGAAAGGAGAGAAAAAATACGATTAGCAGCTATTTGGTTTGCAAAAAACAATTACTTATTTAAAAAAAACTTAACATTCTTCTCTTAAAATTATTCAACAATATGAAAATAATTAATTCATTGGCAAGCATAGACCTTACCACGATGTTTGAAGCTGGGATTGTTACACTTCCTGATATAAGAGAAAGGCAGCTGTGGAAATTGGTAAGCATATCTTTTATTTCCATTAGTGCAATAAATATGCGATATTCTTTAAAGGATCGCAGCGGCACATTTTGGGAGCGGGATGTTCCTTTAATGGACGAAAATCGTTTCAAAGAAAATTTTCGACTCAATAGAAATGCTTTTCGGAGAATTTGTGAAAAAGTTCGAGGCATCGAAAAGGCGAACACTCATATGAGGCCATGTATTCCACTTCATAAAAGAGTGGCTATCTCACTATTCGCATTGGGATCTGCAGCGGAGTACAGGACTGTTGCAAGTCTTTTCGGAGTAGGACGCAGTACTGTTGGCGAAATTGTTTTGGATTTTTGCCAAGCAGTATGCGAAAATCTATCTGATTGCATTAATTCATATCCTCCAAACCAACACGAAATCAGAAAAGTTGTTGATGGCTTCGCGCAAACTGGGTTTCCTCAATGCTTTGGAGCTGTGGATGGCTGCCACATAGAAGTTCAACCACCAAAAGATGATGC